GTGCCCCATAAGTGGAGGGTGTCCAGGGTTGGGGGGGGGGGGGCACCCCCAGTTCTTGCCCCCAGCCCCTCTTTGCCCCCCAGGACTGGAGCACGACGTGGACTCGGAGGAGGCGCTGACGTCCCAAGGTGGGAGCAGGGGGACACTGGGGGGGGGACATTGGGGGTGACATTGGGGGTGACATTGGGGGTGACATTGGGGGTGACACAGATGGGGTGACATTGGGGTGACAAGGAAAGGGTAACACAGGGAGGTGACACAGGGGGGGGACATTGGGGTGACGTGGGGATGGTGACACGGGGGGGTGACATTGGGGGTGACACAGATGGGGTGACATTGGGGGGTGACATTGGGGTGACACAGATGGGTGACATTGGGGTGACATTGGGGGGTGACACAGATGGGGTGACATGGGGATGGTGACACAGGGGGGTGACTTTGGGGGTGACACAGATCAGTGACAGGGGGGTGACATTGGGGTGACATTGGGGTGACACAGGGGGTGACACAGATGGGGTGACATTGGGGGTGACATTGGGGTGACATTGGGGGTGACACAGGGGGGTGACATTGGGGTGACACAGATGGGGTGACATTGGGGGGTGACATTGGGGTGACATGGGGATGGTGACACAGGGGGGTGACTTTGGGGGTGACACAGATGGGTGACACAGGGGGGTGACATTGGGGTGACAAGGAAAGGGTAACACAGATGGGGTGACATTGGGGGTGACACAGATGGGTGACACGGGGGGGTGACATTGGGGTGATATGGGGATGGTGACACGGGGATGGTGACACAGGGGGGTGACTTTGGGGGTGACACAGATCAGTGACGGGGGGGGACATTGGGGGTGACATTGGGGTGACACAGGGGGGGGACATTGGGGTGACAAGGAAAGGGTAACACAGGGAGGTGACACAGGGGGGGGACATTGGGGTGACGTGGGGATGGTGACACGGGGGGGTGACATTGGGGGTGACACAGATGGGGTGACATTGGGGGGTGACATTGGGGTGACACAGATGGGTGACACAGGGGGGGGACATTGGGGGTGACACAGATGGGGTGACATGGGGATGGTGACACAGGGGGGTGACTTTGGGGGTGACATAGATCAGTGACAGGGGGGTGACATTGGGGTGACATTGGGGTGACACAGGGGGTGACACAGATGGGGTGACATTGGGGGTGACATTGGGGTGACATTGGGGGTGACACAGGGGGGTGACATTGGGGTGACACAGATGGGGTGACATTGGGGGGTGACATTGGGGTGACATGGGGATGGTGACACAGGGGGGTGACATTGGGGTGACACAGATGGGGTGACATTGGGGGGTGACATTGGGGTGACATGGGGATGGTGACACAGGGGGGTGACATTGGGGTGACACAGATGGGGTGACATTGGGGGGTGACATTGGGGTGACATGGGGATGGTGACACAGGGGGGTGACATTGGGGTGACACAGATGGGTGACACAGGGGGGTGACATTGGGGTGACAAGGAAAGGGTAACACAGATGGGGTGACATTGGGGGTGACACAGATGGGTGACACGGGGGGGTGACATTGGGGTGATATGGGGATGGTGACACGGGGATGGTGACACAGGGGGGTGACTTTGGGGGTGACACAGATGGGGTGACACAGGGCGGTGACATTGGGGTGACATTGGGGTGACAAGGAAAGGGTAACACAGGGAGGTGACATTGGGGGTGACAGGGGATGAGGGTGACATTGGGGGTGACACTGGGGGGGTGACACTGGGGGGGTGACATGGGGAGGGTAACGGGGAAGTGATATTGGGGGTGACAGGGGAGGAGACACGGGGGGGTGACAAGGATGGGGTGACAAAAGGGGGTGACACTGGGGGTGACATTGAGGGGGTGACACTGGGGGTGACATTGAGGGGGTGACATTGGGGGTGCCACTGGGGGGCTGACCCTGCTCCTCCCTCCCCAGGGCTCTGAGGCATCCGGATGTCTCTGCTGTCACCTCCTCGGCCTCCATCCCCTTCCTGCTGCCCCCCCACCTTGCTCCCTGCCCCACATCCCCAAGCAGCCCCATAGCGGGGCTCACTTGGGGGGAGGGAGGGGGGCATGGGGGTGGCCGGACCCCCCCGTGTCCCCCTGTGGTTGCGGGTGGAGCATCCCCGAACCCCGTGGTACCCAATAAAGGTCCCTGCAGCAGCTCCTGGTCCCCAGTGGCATCGGGGGGGCAGGGATGGGGCTGCCCCACAGCACGGGGCTGGGGGGCACCGGCGCGGCTCCATCACCACCACGGTCCCTTCTCATCCCTCCTTTGGCCATGGGGGGCTCCATGGCCTCCCCAGCCCCACTGCTGGGGGGTGCCACCATCCCCACGGCATCTCCTATCCATCCCCATTGCCCCAGCCCTTGGGTACCACAGCCCCACTGATGGGGGCACCGTCCCCATGGCATCTCCCATCCATCGCCATTGCCCCAGCCCCTGGGTACCACAGCCCCACAGATGGGGGCACTGTCCCCATGGCATCTCCCATCCATCGCCATTAACCCATCCCTTGGGTACCACAGCCCCACAGATGGGGGCACCGTCCCCATGGCATCTCCCATCCATCCCCACTGACCCAGCCCTTGGGTACCACAGCCCCACTGATGGGGGCACCGTCCCCATTGCCCCCACCCTTGGGTACCACAGCCCCACTGATGGGGGCACCGTCCCCATGGCATCTCCCATCCATCCCCATTGCTCCAGCCCTTGGGTACCACAGCCCCACTGATGGGGGCACCGTCCCCATGGCATCTCCCATCCATCCCCATTGCCCCAGCCCTTGGGTACCACAGCCCCACTGATGGGGGCACCGTCCCCATGGCATCTCCCATCCATCCCCATTGCCCCAGCCCTTGGGTACCACAGCCCCACAGATGGAGGCACTGTCCCCATGGCATCTCCCATCCATCCCCACTGACCCAGCCCTTGGGTACCACAGCCCCACAGATGGAGGCACCGTCCCCATGGCATCTCCCATCCATCCCCATTGCCCCAGCCCTTGGGTACCACCGATGGGGGCCCAGCACCATGATCCCAGCCCCGATCCAGCCCATTCCCATGGATCCCCTTGTTTATGGGATGCAGGAGCCGGGTCCTGCCCCTGTCGCATCCCCACATCCCCGGCCCCCCCCTGGAAGCACCGGAGCCGTTCCATGGATGGGGTTGGTTGGGGCCCAAGGCCTTTCATGGATCCATGGACTGGATCCCAGCGCCCCCAATGGGGAAGAACTCCCCAAGATCCCCTCAACTCTTCCCTCTTCCTCCTCTCCGGGCTCCCCTCGGGTACCGGAGCCGCTCGCGCCGCCGGACACCGGGAGGATGCCGGAGCTGATCCCGGTCCCTCGATCCCAAGGGAATCCAATCCCGTGCGGGCTGGGGCTGGGCTGTGCAGAGCTCTTTATATCCAGGTACAGGGCGAGGCCGCTCCGGCGCCAGCCCCACAGAGTCCGTGCTCGCGGCGGCACCGCGGCATTCCCGAGGCCGGGAACAGAACCCGAGCGGAGCCTTGGGCTGGGCCAGACGGGATCCAGCGCTGCTCCTTCCGGCCGCCACCCGCATCGCCGGGGGGCAGGAGACGGGAATGGGGGGGACGGGACCCCTTTCCTTAGGGAAAGCTCAGGATCCCTTAGGGAAAGCTCAGCATCCCTTAAGGAAAGCTCAGGATCCCTTAAGGAAAGCTCAGGATCCCTTAGGGAAAGCTCAGGATCCCTTTCCTTAAGGAAAGCTCAGGATCCCTTAAGGAAAGCTCAGGATCCCTTAGGGAAAGCTCAGGATCCCTTAGGGAAAGCTCAGGATCCCTTAGGGAAAGCTCAGGATCCCTTAAGGAAAGCTCAGGATCCCTTAGGGAAAGCTCAGCATCCCTTAGGGAAAGCTCAGGATCCCTTAGGGAAAGCTCAGGATCCCTTAGGGAAAGCTCAGCATCCCTTAGGGAAAGCTCAGGATCCCTTAAGGAAAGCTCAGGATCCCTTAGGGAAAGCTCAGGATCCCTTAAGGAAAGCTCAGGATCCCTTAGGGAAAGCTCAGGATCCCCTTTCCCAAGGGAAAGCTCAGGATCCCTTAAGGAAAGCTCAGGATCCCTTTCCTTAAGGAAAGCTCAGGATCCCCATTCCCAAGGGAAAGCTCAGGATCCCTTTCCTTAAGGAAAGCTCAGGATCCCCATTCCCAAGGGAAAGCTCAGGATCCCTTAAGGAAAGCTCAGGATCCCTTAGGGAAAGCTCAGGATCCCTTTCCTTAAGGAAAGCTCAGGATCCCTTAGGGAAAGCTCAGGATCCCCATTCCCAAGGGAAAGCTCAGGATCCCTTAAGGAAAGCTCAGGATCCCCATTCCCAAGGGAAAGCTCAGGATCCCTTTCCTTAAGGAAAGCTCAACATCCCTTAGGGAAAGCTCAGGATCCCTTAAGGAAAGCTCAGCATCCCTTAGGGAAAGCTCAGGATCCCCTTTCCTTAAGGAAAGCTCAGCATCCCTTTCCTTAGGGAAAGCTCAGGATCCCTTTCCTTAAGGAAAGCTCAGGATCCCCATTCCCAAGGGAAAGCTCAGGATCCCTTAGGGAAAGCTCAGGATCCCTTTCCTTAAGGAAAGCTCAGCATCCCTTAGGGAAAGCTCAGGATCCCTTTCCTTAGGGAAACCTCAGGATCCCTTGGGGAAAGCTCAGGATCCCTTAAGGAAAGCTCAGGATCCCTTAGGGAAAGCTCAGGACCCCCATTCCCAAGGGAAAGCTCCCCCATTCCTCACTCTCCCCCCCCCCAGCAGCCTCCCCCCGGCCGCATCCCGTTCCCCCCCCTTTCCACAGGCGCATCCCATGGGATGCTGCTGTCCGGCCGCCGCTGCGGGGTGTGGGGGGGGGGGAGATGTGCAGGGTCCAAAGCCGGTTCCGAGCCCTTCCCGGTGCCAGGATGAGGCCCCGCAGGCCGGGGCTGTGCAAAGCAAGGCCTGGGATTCCCTTTGGGGCCGAGGCGATTCCCTAGGAGACAGCGGGGTCCTTGGGCTTGGCCTCGGGCCCGGCCAGCAGGGAGAGGGCGGGATCCTCCGGGTACCCCTCGCCATCCGGGCCATAGGGACCCTCGCCCAGCTCGAAGAAGATGGGAAGGTCCCCGGAGCCCACGTCCACGGCGCTGGAATCCACCAGGAAAAGGGGCTGGGCGGTGTAGTGCACGAGCTGCTTCCCTATGGAGAGAGGGGAAGGATGGGATGGAGCATCCCGAAGGACTTCCTTCATCCCGCACCAGCATCCTCAGGGGAACCATGGGATGGAGCATCCTGAAGGACTTCCTTCATCCCGCACCAGCATCCTCAAGGGGAAGGATGGGATGGAGCATCCCAAAGGACTCCCTTCATCCCGCACCAGCATCCTCAGGGGAAGGATGGGATGGAGCATCCTGAAGGACTTCCTTCATCCCGCACCAGCATCCTCAAGGGGAAGGATGGGATGGAGCATCCCAAAGGACTCCCTTCATCCCGCACCAGCATCCTCAGGGGAAGGATGGGATGGAGCATCCCGAAGGACTTCCTTCATCCCGCACCAGCATCCTCAGGGGAACCATGGGATGGAGCATCCCGAAGGACTCCCTTCATCCCGCACCAGCATCCTTGGGGGAAGGATGGGATGGAGCATCCCGAAGGACTTCCTTCATCCCGCACCAGCATCCTTGGGGGAAGGATGGGATGGAGCATCCCGAAGGACTCCCTTCATCCCGCACCAGCATCCTCAAGGGGAAGGATGGGATGGAGCATCCCGAAGGACTCCCTTCATCCCACACCAGCATCCTTGGGGGAAGGATGGGATGGAGCATCCCGAAGGACTCCCTTCATCCCACACCAGCATCCTCAGGGGAAGGATGGGATGGAGCATCCCGAAGGACCCCCTTCATCCCGCACCAGCATCCTCAGGGGGAAGAAGTCCCAGGATCCCATCAATTCTTCCCACCCCATCAACTCTTCCCTCTTCCTCCTCCCATCCCATCGACTCTTCCCTCTTCCTCCTCCTCCCTTCCCATCAACTCTTCCCTCTTCCTCCTCCTCCCATCCCATCAACTCTTCCCTCTTCCTCCTCGTCCCATCCCATCAACTCTTCCCTCTTCCTCCTCCCATCCCATCGACTCTTCCCTCTTCCTCCTCCTCCCTTCCCATCAACTCTTCCCTCTTCCTCCTCCTCCATCCCATCAACTCTTCCCTCTTCCTCCTCCTCCCATCCCATCAACTCTTCCCTCTTCCTCCTCCTCCCTTCCCATCAACTCTTCCCTCTTCCTCCTCATCCCATCCCATCAACTCTCCCCTCTTCCTCCTCCTCCCATCCCATCAACTCTTCCCTCTTCCTCCTCCTCCCATCCCATCAACTCTTCCCTCTTCCTCCTCCTCCCACCCCTCCCTCCCTTGTCCCAGCCCCTCTCCAGGCTCCCTGCAGGACCCTTCAGGCTCTGGAGCTGCTCTCCTCCAGGCTTCATCCTGCTCCATCCCATCATCCCCACCGCAATTCCCACTGGACCCCGGGATGCTGCCGGTACCTGCGTCCGCTGCGCCGGCCTCGCTCTCCGTGGGTTTCTGCTGTTCCTGGGATGAAAGGAGATCCTGGATCTGTGGGGCAAGAGTGGGGATCTCAGCGCCCAGCCATGGACCCCAGGCACGCTCAGCACCCCCAGGTGTGCTCCGAGGAGATGCTGAGGTCCTCAGAGGTTGTGGGGAGCCCCGAGGGATGGGGATGCTCCTGCTCCCGGCGTGCTTCCATGGATCCCCTCAGGGAACCCTGGAATGCCTTGGGATGGAGGGAGCTTAAAGCTGGGGGTGCTCTCAGCCCCTGTGTCCAACCTGGGATGGAGCACCCCAAACCTCTCCCTTCAACCCATGCCAGCGCCCCAGCACCCTCATGGGAAAGAACTCCCCAAGATCCCATCGACTCTTCCCTCTTCTTCCTCATCCCATCCCATCAACTCTTCCCTCTTCTTCCTCCGCCCATCCCATCAACTCTTCCCTCTTCCTCCTCATCCCATCCCATCAACTCTTCCCTCTTCTTCCTCCTCCCATCCCATCAACTCTTCCCTCTTCTTCCTCATCCCATCCCATCGACTCTTCCCTCTTCATCCTCCTTCCATCCCATCAACTCTTCCCTCTTCTTCCTCATCCCATCCCATCAACTCTTCCCTCTTCCTCCTCATCCCATCCCATCGACTCTTCCCTCTTCTTCCTCATCCCATCCCATCAACTCTTCCCTCTTCTTCCTCATCCCATCCCATCGACTCTTCCCTCTTCTTCCTCATCCCATCCCATCAACTCTTCCCTCTTCCTCCTCATCCCATCCCATCAACTCTTCCCTCTTCTTCCTCATCCCATCCCATCGACTCTTCCCTCTTCTTCCTCATCCCATCCCATCGACTCTTCCCTCTTCATCCTCATCCCATCCCATCGACTCTTCCCTCTTCCTCCTCCTCCCATCCCATCAACTCTTCCCTCTTCCTCCTCCTCCCATCCCATCCCTCGTCCCAAGCCCCTCTCCAGGCTCCCTGCAGCCCCCTCCGGCCTCCCCTTCCGCAGCAGAGGGGCAGCCATGGGGCCAGCCCCATCACCCCACAGATCACGGCCTGCTCCGGCTCTTGGGAGGAGCATCCTTGTCCGGCTGCTGATGCCCAAGGACCCAGCCCTATGGCTTCGGGAAGCCTCCCATCCGCATCCCTGCTCCATCCCATCACCCCCGGAGAACCTAAGCTCATCCACAGGCACCTTCCTGGGAAGTCCATGGAGCTCCCCGGAGCACTCAGCCCCCCCCCGGCACGGCAATGAGCTATGGGGCAGCCCCGGTGTCCGTGGGCCGGGCTCCATCCCGCATCTCCTCCCGCGCACCACGGGGGGTGCTGAGCAGCTCAGGACCCCTGTGCTGTCCCCCCCCCCGGTACTCACGCTGGCCAAGCTGCTGTCCAGGTCGGGCAGGTTCATGTCCGTGACCGTCATGGAAGGGCTGAAGAGCTGCCGAGAGGGAAGAGGGCTCAGGGCCGGGAGAGGAAGGAACCGCGGTGGGACAGGGACATGGCCGGCTGGAGCCAGCGTGGGGGGGAAGCAGGGGAGGGAGGACCCAGCCGGAGATCCGGTTGGAGATGTCCAACCCATCCATTGGAGATCCGGTTGGAGAGGTCCAACCCATCCATTGGAGATCCGGTTGGAGAGGTCCAACCCATCCATTGGAGATCCAGTTGGAGATGTCCAACTGATCCATTGGAGATGTCCAACCCATCCATTGGAGATCTGGTTGGAGAGGTCCAACCCATCCATTGGAGATCCGGTTGGAGAGGTCCAACCCATCCACTGGAGATCTGGTTGGAGAGGTCCAACCACAGTCCAGTTGGAGATCCAGTTGGAGATGTCCAACTGATGCAGTTGGAGATCCAGTTGGAGATGTCCAACCCATCCAGCTGGAGATGTCCAACCAATCCATTGGAGATCCAGTTGGAGATGTCCAACCCATCCAGTTGGAGATGTCCAACCAATCCATTGGAGATCCAGTTGGAGAGGTCCAACCCATCCACTGGAGATCTGGTTGGAGAGGTCCAACCACAGTCCAGTTGGAGATCCAGTTGGAGATGTCCAACTGATCCATTGGAGATGGCCAACCAATCCATTGGAGATCTGGTTAGAGATGGCCAACCAGTCCAGTTGGAGATCTGGCTGGAGAGGTCCAACCCATCCACTGGAGATATGGTTGGAGAGGTCCAACCACAGTCCAGTTGGAGATCTGATTGGAGATGTCCAACTGATCCATTGGAGATAGCCAATCAATCCATTGGAGATCCAGTTGGAGATGTCCAACTGATCCATTGGAGATGTCCAACCAATCCATTGGAGATCCAGTTGGAGATGTCCAACTGATCCATTGGAGATGGCCAACCAATCCATTGGAGATCCAGTTAGAGATGTCCAACCCATCCAGTTGGAGATGTCCAACCAATCCATTAGAGATCCAGTTGGAGATGTCCAACCAATCCATTGGAGATTCAGTTGGAGAGGTCCAACCAGTCCAGTTGGAGATGTCCAACTGATCCATTGGATATCCAGTTGGAGATGTCCAACCCATCCGGTTGGTGATGTCCAACCCATGCAGTTGGAGATGTCCAACCCATCCGGTTGGAGATGTCCAACCCATCCATTGGTGATGCCCAACCCATCTGGTTGGAGACGTCCAACCCATCCATTGGTGATGCCCAACCCATCTGGTTGGAGATGTCCAACCCATCCATTGGTGATGTCCAACCCATCCATTGGTGATGTCCAACCCATGCAGCTGGTGATGTCCAACCCATCCGGTTGGAGACGTCCAACCCATGCAGCTGGTGATGCCCAACCCATCTGGTTGGAGACGTCCAACCCATCCATTGGTGATGCCCAACCCATGCAGTTGGAGATGCCCAACCCATCCAGCTGGAGATGTCCAACCCATCCATTGGTGATGTCCAACCCATCCAGCTGGAGATGTCCAACCCATCCATTGGTGATGTCCAACCCATCCATTGGTGATGCCCAACCCATGCAGTTGGAGGTTTCCAACTGACCCAACTGGAGGAGCCCCTGGTCCCCGCGGGCCCGGACCGGAGGCGCTCTGGAGCTCCCGTGGGAGCAGGACTCACATCCAACAAGGCGCTCGTGTCCACGCTGAAGCCGTGCGTGCTCAGCATGGTCTGGAGGTTGTCCAGGTTGGAGTCGATGGTGTCCAGGTGGTCGTTGAGCTCATTCCTGGCCACAGGAGAGCGGGGCCGGGGGTCAGGGAGGAGGAGCCTTCCCCCCGGCCCCCAGCCCCAGCCCCTGCAGGCCTCCTCCCTCCCTCCATCTCCTCCGCAGGAGCCTTGGGACCCTTCCGCCCCGGAGCTCCATGGATGAGGAGCCCGAACGGATGAGACCCGGACGGCCTATGGGTTCCTATGGGTTCCTATGGGTTCCTATGGATCCCTATGGATTCCTTATGGATTCCCTATGGATTCCTATGGGTTCCTATGGGTTCCCTATGGATTCCTATGGGTTCCTATGGGTTCCTATGGATCCCTATGGATTCCTTATGGATTCCCTATGGATTCCTATGGGTTCCTATGGATCCCTATGGATTCCTTATGGATTCCCTATGGATTCCTATGGGTTCCTATGGGTTCCCTATGGATTCCTATGGGTTCCTATGGATTCCTATGGGTTCCTATGGATCCCTATGGATTCCCTATGGATCCCTATGGATTCCCTATGGATTCCTATGGATTCCTATGGGTTCCTATGGGTTCCTATGGATTCCTATGGATCCCTATGGGTTCCTATGGATTCCTTATGGATTCCTATGGATTCCCTATGGATTCCTTATGGATCCCTATGGATTCCCTATGGGTTCCTATCGATTCCTATGGATTCCTTATGGATTCCCTATGGATTCCTTATGGATCCCTATGGATTCCCTATGGGTTCCTATGGGTTCCTATGGATCCCTATGGATTCCCTATGGATTCCTATGGGTTCCTATGGATTCCTATGGATCCCTATGGATCCCTATGGGTTCCTATGGATTCCCTATGGATTCCTATGGGTTCCTACGGATCCCTATGGATTCCCTATGGATTCCTATGGGTTCCCTATGGATTCCTATGGATCCCTACGGATTCCCTATGGGTTCCTATGGATTCCCTATGGATCCCTATGGATCCCTATGGATTACCCCAGCTTTGGGTAAGCACCAAACCTCCTCCCCATCACCTCCTGGTTGTGGATCCAGGACAAAGGGAACAAACCCTCACCCCTAAAGCAACTTGGGGGGGGAAGTTCCACAGGGATCGCAGCTGGCCTGGAAACCCCTTCCCATCGGGATGGGCAACAGGGACACGTTTGTTCCTCAGGAGATGGGGCTTCCGGGAAGGATGGAGAGCACCAAAGCTGCTGCCATGATGTATCCGGGGGAGGGGGGATAACGCTTCCCACTGCATCCCAACCTGGCCATGGCCCTGCCTGGATGCAGGCAGCTCCCAAACATGTGGTGGGACACGAGGGAAGAGGCACCGTGGTCCCATGGGAATCACCGCCCACTTGAAGGGCAGGATGAGGCCAGCGGGGAAAGACATCCCATAAACCCTTGTGTGGCCCCGAAGCCAGCAGCTCGGGGGGCTGCTGCTCCCGTTCCCCAACCCAGGAAGAGCGTGGAAAGGCAATGGGAATGTGGTCCCCCCCTCCCCTTCCCGGCCAGCATCACCTCAAGGGATGGGAAGAGCTTCAGGTCCCGTTGGCCACAGCTGCCTTGAGCGGGCCAAGGAGGGAGGGAGCTCTGGATCCGTAGGGATGGGGGTCAGGGAAGGTCCCTGCTGTGCTCCCTTCCCCTTGGGATGCTGACCCCCGCCGTGCTCCCCAATGGAGCGAGGAAGAGGAAGGAGCAGGAGCTGGTCCCAAGCTCGGGGGAAAGGCCAACGGCTCCGGGTCATGGGAGCATGGAATGGGATGGGTTGGGATGCTGCAGACCCCGAGCAGTGCCAGCAATGGGGCAGCCCCCCGGGGCCCACCATGGGGAAGGAGCTCATCCCGGGCTCGCTCCTCACACCCATGGCCCCAGCCCCACACATGGAGCTAGCAAGGAAACCCTTCAGCTCACAGCCCCCTTGGCTCCTGGCAAGGGCCCCCTGAGGCTCCTCAATGGGGGGGTTTGGGTCCCCCCGCTCAGGTATTCCCATCACAAAGAGCCCCTTTCATCCCCGGAGCCGGCGCTCCTCAAAGGCTGCTGCTCCCATGGGGCACAAAGGAGACCTTGTGATGGGGTGGGAGGCTCACAAAGAGGCCATGCAAGCCCTCATGGAGGGGGGGTTTGGGGCTCCCCTTCTCTGATGAAGCAGGGAAGCACCGGAGCGTGGTACCCGGTGATGGAGAGCCAGGGAGGCTGGGCTGATGCCAACCTCATGTTTAACCAGGCCAAGGGCAAGGTCCTATAGCTGGGGGGTTGGGGGAGCCATCCCAGGGCCCAGCTCCAGGTTGGGAACAGAAGAGATCCAGAGCAGCCCAAGGAGGTGCTGGTCCATGAGGAAATGAACAGGAGAAGGGTTCAGTGGGAGCTTGAGCCCAGAAAGCATCCGTATCCTGGGCTGCATCCGAAGGAGAGGGACCAGCAGGGCCAAGGAGGTGATCCTGCCCCTCTGCTCTGCTCGGGGACACCTCACCTGGAGCACTGGGTGCAGTGCTGGGGTCCTCAGGACGTGGGGCTGGTGGAACAAGGCCAGAGGAGGCCACGAGGATGCTCAGGGGTGGGAGCAGCTCCTGTATGGAGCCAGGCTGAGAACGTTGGGGCTGTTGAGGTTGGAGAAGAGGAGCTGGGGGAGACCTCAGAGCAGCTTCCAGTGTGTGAAGGGGGCTATAGGGATGCTGGGGAGGGACTCTTCATTAGGGACTGCAGGGACAGGGCAAGGGGTAACGGGTTCAAACTGAAACAGGGGAAGTTTAGATTGGATCTAAGGAGGAAATTCTTTCCTGTGAGGGTGGTGAGGCACTGGAATGGGTTGCCCAGGGAGGTTGGGAATGCTCCATCCCTGGCGGTGTCCAAGGCCAGGCTGGACAGAGCCTTGGGTGCCATGGTTTAGGGTGAGGTGTCCCTGCCCGTGGCACGGGGTTGGAACTGGCTGAGCTTCAGGTCCTTTCCAACCCAAACTGTTCCATGGTTCTATGCACTGGGAGCACTTCCCGCCCCCCCCCCCCCCCCCCCCCACATCCCAGGGAAGCAGGAAACCCCTGGGAATTCCAAGGGAATTCCAGGTCTGGTGTCCCAGGATCCGGGCACGGGGCTCCTGTGGCTCCCACAGGGAGCAAGGGATGCTTGGGGAGCTCCGAGCTCACTGAGGCCTCATTCCCTAGCAGGGAGCTGGGACCATGGGAGGGGTTCTCCTCCAGCTCCAACCCCTGCCAGGGCAGGGACCCCTTCCCCTGGAGCAGGGTGCTCCGAGCCCCTGGGTCCAACCTCCCAAAGAGCAGTTGGGATCCCAAGCTCCCTCCCATGGGAATGTGGAGGGCAGCTGGGATGGGCAATGCAGAGGCCAGGGAGGGACAGGGCACGCTCGGGGCAGTGATTCCAAGGCACCTCCACCTGAGCCCCATTGAGCTGAGCCGTGGGTCAGAGGAGGGGGTTCTGCCCCTCTGCTGTGGGGGGACCCCACTGGGACACTGAGGGCAGCCCTGGAGGATGCTGCGAGGGCTGGAGCAGCTCTGCCCTGGAGCCAGGCTGGGAGCAGAGAAGGGGAGAGCTGAGAGCAGCTCCAGGGCCTGAAGGGGCTGCGGGGAGCCTTGGGACAAGGGAGGCAGGGATGGGAGGAGGAGGAAGAGGGAAGAGTTGATGGGAGCTTGGGGAGTTCTTCCCCATGGAAGGGGTTGAAGGGAGAGGTTTGGGATGCTCCATCCCTGGCAGTGCCCAAGGGCAGCTTGGACACAGGGGCTCGGAGCACCCTGCTCCAGGGGAAGGGGATGGGCTTGGAGCTGGAGGAGCCTCAGCCCTGGGGCCTGGCCTGGTCCATACCCCCCACCCCCGGGCCCCACAGGCACTCACTTGTCGAGGCAGGCGACGCTGAGGCACTTGGGCTGCGGCTGCGTGGGGCTGGCGCTGGCGGCAGCCGCGGCGCTGGGCTCGGGCTCCTGCAGGAAGGAGTCGATGAAGGTGGAGGGGAAGAGCGGGGTCTCCAGGGCAGGAGGCTGCCCGGGGCTGGCCTCCTCTACCTGGGGGCTGCGGCTGGGGCTGGGGGGCTCCTCCTTGATCCGCACCACGGGGCTGCTCCTGCAACACAGGGGTAACGGTGAGCAAGGGAAGCCTCATGGAGCTATAGAACATCCCCTAACCCCCCCCAGGAACCAGCTGTGAAGGAGCATCCCTGCTCTGAGCCTGAGCCCATGCAGCATCATCACCAAGGGTGCCAGGACATCGTCAGCACCAAGGGTGCCAGGACATCGTCAGCACCAAGGGAGGTACCAGGACATCATCACCACCAAGGGTGGGTACCAGGACATCATCACCACCAAGGGTGGGTACCAGGACATCATCACCACCAAGGGTACCAGGACATCATCACCACCAAGGTAGGTACCAGGACATCATCACCACCAAGGGTACCAGGACATCATCACCAACAAGGGTACCAGGACATCATCACCAACAAGGGTACCAGGACATCATCACCACCAAGGTAGGTATCAGGACATCATCACCACCAAGGGTACCAGGACATCATCACCACCAAGGTAGGTACCAAGACATCATCACCACCAAGGGTATCAGGACATCATCACCAACAAGGGTACCAGGACATCATCACCAACAAGGGTACCAGGACATCATCACCACCAAGGTAGGTACCAGGACATCATCACCACCAAGGGTACCAGGACATCATCACCACCAAGGGTACCAGGACATCATCACCATCAAGGGTACCAGGACATCATCACCACCAAGGTAGGTACCAGGACATCATCACCACCAAGGGTACCAGGACATCATCACCAACAAGGGTACCAGGACATCATCACCACCAAGGGTACCAGGACATCATCACCACCAAGGTAGGTACCAGGACATCATCACCACCAAGGGTACCAGGACATCATCACCATCAAGGGTACCAGGACATCATCACCACCAAGGGTACCAGGACATCATCACCACCAAGGGTATCAGGACATCATCACCAACAAGGGTGCCAGGACATCATCACCAACAAGGGTACCAGGACATCATCACCATCAAGGGTACCAGGACATCATCACCACCAAGGTAGGTACCAGGACATCATCACCACCAAGGGTACCAGGACATCATCACCACCAAGGGTACCAGGACATCATCACCATCAAGGGTATCAGGACATCATCACCACCAAGGGTACCAGGACATCATCACCACCAAGGTAGGTACCAGGACATCATCACCACCAAGGGTACCAGGACATCATCACCACCAAGGGTACCAGGACATCATCACCATCAAGGGTACCAGGACATCATCACCACCAAGGGTACCAGGACATCATCACCACCAAGGGTACCAGGACATCATCACCATCAAGGGTACCAGGACATCATCACCAACAAGGGTACCAGGACATCGTCACCACCAAGGGTGCCAGGACATCATCACCACCAAGGTAGGTACCAGGACATCATCACCACCAAGGGTACCAGGACATCATCACCACCAAGGGTGCCAGGACATCATCACCAACAAGGGTACCAGGACATCATCACCACCAAGGGTGCCAGGACATCATCACCAACAAGGGTACCAGGACATCATCACCACCAAGGGTGCCAGGACATCATCACCACCAAGGTAGGTACCAGGACATCATCACCATCAAGGGTACCAGGACATCATCACCACCAAGGGCATCAGGACATCATCACCATCAGGGGTATCAGGACATCATCACCAACAAGGGTACCAGGACATCATCACCACCAAGGGTACCAGGACATCATCACCACCAAGGGTGCCAGGACATCATCACCACCAAGGGTACCAGGACATCATCACCACCAAGGGTGCCAGGACATCATCACCACCAAGGTAGGTACCAGGACATCATCACCATCAAGGGTACCAGGACATCATCACCACCAAGGGTACCAGGACATCATCACCACCAAGGGTACCAGGACATCATCACCACCAAGGGTGCCAGGACATCATCACCACCAAGGGTACCAGGACATCATCACCAACAAGGGTACCAGGACATCATCACCACCAAGGGTGCCAGGACATCATCACCACCAAGGGTACCAGGACATCATCACCATCAAGGGTACCAGGACATCATCACCAACAAGGGTATCAAGACATCATCACCATCAAGGGTATCAGGACATCATCACCACCAAGGGTACCAGGACATCATCACCATCAAGGGTACCAGGACATCATCACCATCAAGGGTATCAGGACATCATCACCACCAAGGGTACCAGGACATCATCACCATCAAGGGTACCAGGACATCATCACCATCAAGGGTATCAGGACATCATCACCACCAAGGGTATCAGGACATCATCACCACCAAGGGTGCCAGGACATCATCACCACCAAGGGTGGGTATGAGTGACCACATGGGCTATGTTGGGGTGAGTGTTCCTGGCACGGCAGGCAGTAAATGGCTTCTGTGGGTGATTCAGCCCCACAGGGGAAGGGCCAATGCCAGGAACAAGCCAGAAAGAGGAGGCAAAAAGGAGCTGGGAGACCCCAGGGAGCCTGGAGAGGGGCTTGGGACAAGGGAGGCAGGGATGGGATGAAGGCAATGGCTTTAACCTGACAGAGGGGAGATGGGGATGAGCTCCTGGGGAAGGATCAGAGAACCATGGGATCAGCTGCGTTGGAAAAGCCCTTTAAGCTCACCCAGTCCAACCATTCCCAGCCCTGCCAAGGCCATCGCTGCCCCATGGCACTGAGGGGGTGTGAGCACTCGCAGGGCCGGTGCCTGCAGCCCTGCCCCGGGCAGCCTCTTCCAATGCCTGAGCACCCTCTGGGGCAGGAATTGTTCCTCAGCTCCATCTAACCCTGCCCTGGGGCAGCTTGAGGCCGGTTCCTCTTGTCCCATCCCTTGCTCCTTGGGAGCAGAGCCCAGCCCCTCCTGGCTCCATCCTCCTGGCAGGCACTTGGAGGGAGCCATCAGGTCCCCCCTGAGCCTTCTCCACACTAAACCCCCCAGGTCCCATCCCACCCATCCCATCCCATCCATCCCATCCCATCCCATCCCATCCCATCCCATCCATCCCATCCCATCCATCCCATCCATCCCATCCCATCCCACCCCATCCCATCCCACCCCATCCCATCCATCCCATCCCACCCCATGCTCCCCGCAGCTCCCAAGCGATGGAAGAGGAAGGTACCTGCCGTCGAGGCTGCCGCTGGGGGATGCTGAGGGGCTGGACTGGGCGAGCTCGGTCACGTCGGAGATGATGGGACCGGAGTTGGCTGAAGAATCCGGGGAATAGAGGTTGGAGCCACTGTATGCTGGGGAAGAAGCCTGCAATGACAATCACAGCAGTCCCAGCGTGAAGCACCGGGCACAGACCGGGCACTGCCCCAGGCTGGGAGGTGGAGCAGGAGGAAGCACATCACAACAGCCCCAAACCCCATGGGAGAAGGCATCCAGGGGGCCAAGGGGATTCCAGGTTAAAGGATGCACCCTGGGAAAACAGGGGGGGGAAAGTAGGGAACATCATGGTCCATCCTTGAAGTGAGTGCGGGTCTCCCATTCCCTGCTGTGCTGGATTAAAGGAGCTTTGGGATCGCAGGGAGACCATGGGGCCCTCAGCTCCCTCCTTCTTGAATTCCTAAGGGATAACCCCAAGGGATTGCATCTCATGCACAGCAGGAACACGGGGGATGCTCTGCAGGCTCTGTGCTGCAGGGTGGAACATCCCGCTCTGCTCCTGCCCCACCAGTGGCAGCGGAATTCCTGCCTGGATAAACCAGGGAGCACCGGTGGGAGCCACTCCAGACACAGCTCTGGGTGGTGGCTTTTGGGACACCAATGGCTTCTGCGTGTCCAAGGGTGGATTCGGGAGCACAGAAAGGGGAACCAGGAGGTGGCAGGAGCTGCATGGATGTGATGGCAGGAGCTGCATGGATGTGATGGCAGGAGCTGTATGGATGTGAGGGCAGGAGCTGTATGGATGTGGTGGCAGGAGCTGTATGGATGTGATGGCAGGAGCTGGAGGGATGTGATGGCAGGAGCTGTATGGATGTGATGGCAGGAGCTGTATGGATGTGATGGCAGGAGCTGGAGGGATGTGATGGCAGGAGCTGCATGGATGTGATGGCAGGAGCTGTATGGATGTGGTGGCAGGAGCTGCATGGATGTGATGGCAGGAGCTGTATGGATGTGATGGCAGGAGCTGCATGGATGTGATGGCATCAGGGATGTGATGGCAGGAGCTGCATGGATGTGATGGCATCAGGGATGTGATGGCAGGAGCTGCATGGATGTGATGGCAGGAGCTGCATGGATGTGATGGCAGGAGCTGCATGGATGTGAGGGCAGGAGCTGCATGGATGTGAGGGCAGGAGCTGCATGGATGTGATGGCATCACGGATGTGATGGCAGGAGCTGCATGGATGTGATGGCAGGAGCTGTATGGATGTGATGGCAGGAGCTGTATGGATGTGAGGGCAGGAGCTGTATGGATGTGAGGGCAGGAGCTGTATGGATGTGAGGGCAGGAGCTGTATGGATGTGAGGGCAGGAGCTGTATGGATGTGAGGGCAGGAGCTGTATGGGTGTGATGGCATCAGGGATGGGATGGCAGGAGCTGGAGGGATGTGATGGCAGGAGCTGCATGGAGGCAGTGCCAGGAGCTGGAGGGATGTGATGGCAGGAGCTGCATGGAGGCAGTGCCAGGAGCTGCAGGGATGTGGTGCCAGGAGCTGCATGGATGTGGTGGCAGGAGCTGCATGGATGTGATGGCAGGAGCTGCATGGAGGCAGTGCCAGGAGCTGCAGGGCTGTGGTGCCAGGAGCTGCAAGGATGTGGTGGCAGGTGCTGCATGGAGGCAGTGCCAGGAGCTGCAGGGATGTGGTGGCAGGAGCTGCATGGAGGCAGTGCCAGGAGCTGCAGGGATGTGGTGGCAGGAGCTGCAGGGATGTGGTGGCAGGTGCTGCATGGAGGCAGTGCCAGGAGCTGTAGGGATGTGATGGCAGGAGCTGCATGGAGGCAGTGCCAGGAGCTGCAGGGATGTGATGGCAGGAGCTGCATGGAGGCAGTGACAGGAGCTGCAGGGATGTGGTGGCAGGAGCTGCATGGAGGCAGTGCCAGGAGCTGCAGGGATGTGATGGCAGGAGCTGCATGGAGGCAGTGCCAGGAGCTGCAGGGATGTGATGGCAGGAGCTGCAGGGATGTGATGGCAGGAGCTGCATGGAGGCAGTGCCAGGAGCTGCATGGAGGCAGTGCCAGGAGCTGCATGGAGGCAGTGCCAGGAGCTGCAGGGATGTGATGGCAGGAGCTGCATGGAGGCAGTGCCAGGAGCTGCATGGAGGCAGTGCCAGGAGCTGCATGGAGGCAGTGCCAGGAGCTGCAGGGATGTGATGGCAGGAGCTGGAATCAGGCAGCCTCAGCAGGAGCGAGCCGGAGCACCTGCTCTTCCCATCCCTGGGACAATGCAGCAGGAGCTGGAATTGCTCCCGGGGCGGCTGCGGATGCAGTTGAGGATCAAAGGCCCTTTGAAGGAAGAGATCAGAGGAGGGGAACACAGAGCTCCCAGCCAGGGTGGTCCGAGGGCAGCGGGGAGCCAGGAGAGCCCTCATCCCTCCAAGGGCTCCGGCTGCTGCCCACAGCCGGCCAGGGAACGGCCTGGATCCACCTGCGTGGCTCCTCAGGGCACGCACGGACATGGACCAGGTCCAAGAGAGCCTCTAAAATGGGACCAAGGCCACCACAGGGCGGGATGTGGGGGGCTGAAGTGAGGGGAGCAGGAGGGACCAGCGCCCAGCGCCTCCCTCCTCCCCATCAGCTCCAAGCGATGGGGATGCTGCAGGGCACGGGATGAGGCTTCGCAGACCTTGTGGTACCCAGAGGACACAGCCCTGGGCTCCCTGGGGGGCAGTTTGGGGCACCCAAAGCATCGTGTGGTGTCCCAGCAGGGTTTAGGGGGAGCCTGGTGAGGGCTCGGGGCCTGTGTGAAGGGGTTTGTGCCTCAAGAGGATGGGAGGGCCCAGACTTGTGGGATCACGGGATGGGTTGGGATGAAGGGAGCTGAAAGCTCCTCCAGCTCCAACCACAGGCAGGGACCCCTTCCCCTGGAGCAGGGTGCTCCGAGCCCGTGTCCAACCTGGCCTTGAGCACTGCCAGCAATGGGGCAGCCCCAGCTCCCATGGGCAGCCCTCAGCATCCATTGGGAAGGATGCTCCGGAGCATCCATCTCCAGAGATGCGGGAAGAGCCGAGAGCAGCTCCAGAGCCTGAAGGGGCTGCAGGGAACCCGGAGAGGGGCTTGGGGCAAGGGATGGAAGGGATGGGATGAGGGGAATGGCTCCAACGGCTCTTGGGCAGCAGCAATTCCCATGAGGATGGGGGGGGGAAGCCTGGCATGGGTCGAAGGGCTTGATCCGCGGGTCCCTCCCCATGGATCCCTGGGTCCGTGGCCCCCCTGCAGGGGCAGGGTACTCACTGTGTACGGGGAGGAGCCGTGGACGTGCTCCAGGGAATACTGGCGGCTGTACTTCGGCATGGAATGTGCTGAGCTGCCGTCGTTGAGCATCAGGGGGCTGCAAAGACATCGCCAAGGCCCGGGCTCACCGCGCCGCCGGGGCACGGCTCCTGCACCCACCTAAGGTGGGACACAGGGCACGGGAGGCATGGAGCGGGTCAGGATGAGGCCGTCCCATGGAGGAGCAGGATGAGCCCCTGGCTGAGCTGTGCAATTCAATGGAGCACCAATGGGAAAGGCGCTGGCAGCACCATCCAGCCCCACGGGACGCAGGGGATGAGGAACGGGCACAGGAGCTGCCACTTCCCACATGGACGAGGGGAGAAACATCATGGAATGAGGCTGGGAATGACCTTCGAAGCTCATCCAGTCCAACCATTCCCAGCCCTACCAAGGCCACCACTGTGCCAGGGCACTGAGGGCCTCGTCTCCATGGGATGGAGGCAGGGATGGGGCAACCCCATCTTCCTGCTCCGGTGCCTCACCCAAGGAGCCCATCTCATGGGATGGATGGGATGGGATGGGGTGAGCAGGACCTGCTCAGCTCAGTGGATTTGAGGTGAGGGACAACAGGAGAACCACCCCTAACCACGAGGAGAGCAAAGGAATTGTGCTACTGGGATAAACCCACGTCACTGGGATCGGCTCCAAGCAAATGAAGCCGGGGCTGCCCTTAACCTCTGAGGGCATTGGGATGGTGATGAGCAAGGGGCAACCCAACCACAGCAGGTCCGGGGCTGCTCTGGATGCTCCAATGCTGCCCCTTTAGGGTAACACCAGAAGTAAGAGGGAATCTCCCTGGGGAGCTGGACCGTCACACTTACATCTTCCTCTTCACTCCGAGGATGCGGTTGGATTGAACCAAGGAGATCAGGAACTGGATGAGCTGTGGGGAGGAGAAAGGGCAACAGCCTGTGATGGGGGGCACAGAACTGGGGCAGGAAATGCTCTGGGACCGTTTGCAGAGCTGAGCTGGGCATGGGGAGTGCACAAAGGTGGGTGCTGCCAGCCAAATCCAGCCTTTTCCCACTCCTGGCAAAGGGAAGGCTCAAAATGATGCTTTAAACTGGATTAATGCCACTGCATCCCATTGATGCTGAGCTGGGCACGGGGAGTGCACAAAGGTGGGTGCTGCCAGCCCAAATCCAGCCTTTTCCCACTCCTGGCAAGGGGAAGGTTCAAAATGATGCTTTAAACTGGATTAATGCCACTGCATCCCATTGATGCTGTGCTGGGCATGGGGAGTGCATAAAGGTGGGTGCTGCCAGCCCAAATCCAGCCTTTTCCCACTGCATTCCCATCATCTGCTGGCAAAGGGAAGGCTCAAAATGAGGCTTTAAACAGGATTAATGCCACCCCATCCCATTGATGCTGAGCTGGGCACGGGGGACATGGGGAGTGCATAAAGGTGGGTGCTGCCAGCCCAAATCCAGCCTTTTCCCACTGCATTCCCATCACCTCCTGGCGAGGGGAAGGAAACACAGCGCTCAAAGTGATTCTGAAAGAGGATTAAGGCCGTGGCATCCCATTGAGGCACCCCTCACCCCCTCCCCACCACCAGAGGGTCCCGATCCATGGGGAAAAGCGGGATTTACCTTATTGACCACCTTCTGCTGCTGAGCGTGCTTCTGCCTCAGGCTGGCCACCTCCCTCCACAGCGCCTCGTTCTCACTGCAAGGGAAGCAGCAGGCACCTGAGAACCCCAGCAGGGATGCGGGCACTTCCCAGCTCCAGCATCATTCCCAGTCTCCACGCTCGGGAAGGCTTCCTTGCCATCGATTCCCACACGGGTAAGGGGATGGAGCCCAGCTCCAAAGCCACCCCATGGCCCTGTGGGGTGATCCCTGACCTGGCTCGTGTGCTCCCGGTGTGGTTCCATACATCCTCTCTCCTGTATCATGGATTCATGGGATGGGTTGGGATGAAGGGAGCTTCAAGCTGCTCCAGCTCCAACCATGGGCAGGGACCCCTTCCACTGGAGCAGGGTGCTCCGAGCCCCTGTGTCCAAGCTGCCAGGGATGGAGCATCCTGAAGCTCTCCATTCCACCCACCCCAGTGTCCCAGCACCCTCATGGGGAAGAACTCCATCCCGATATCCAAGCTAAATCCCCTCTGTTTCACTGTGAACCCATCACTTCACCCCACAGGCTCTAATGCAGTATTAAACCCATCAAGGGCCACCAGTGGGAGGTGCCCATGGAACTGGAGCAGCCTTAAGGTCCCTTCCAAACACAAACCATTCCATGGATCCGTGATTATCCGGATGGAGCAGCGCCGGGTACGGGGTTGGGGGGGGAACCAGGACCAGGTAGCACTTGGCTGGCCCCACAGCCCCACAGCCTCTGCTCCGAAGGGACAAGTCCCTGCTGCAGCTCATCCCCAGCTCCGGGATGATCCCAGAGGAGCAGCCGCTGATGAGGGGCAGGTGCAGAGCCGGGTCCTGGGATCATGGCAACGCTTCGGAGCTCCCTTTAATCACCCCCCATAGCCAATGGCTCCTCACCCACCACAAACCAGTATAAAGGGGCTGGGGCTGCTCCCGGCCCAGTTTAACCCAGTGGGAGCTGGTGTCCAGCTGCTCCCATCCCGCTGCCTAATGAGCAGTGACCACGTCGGCCCCGGCTCAGGTGGGACGGAGCAGCCGGGCCAGCTCCGTTCCCATTCCCATTCCCACCCTTGGGAATGCTGCAGCTCTGCTCCACGGGCTCGGATGTCCCGGAGCCGTGGTCAGCTGGCGAGGGCTGCGGAGAGCCGGGATAATTTCCATGCATCCCAAAATCCCTGCTGGGGCCCGCAGCCTCCGCGCGTGTAATTGGCAGCTGGTGCATGGTGGAGCGGAGCTGCTTGCAGCTGCAGCCCCCGACACGAGGCAGCCCTTTAGGAATGCCTTGGGAATGCTGCGGGAGCACCGAGGGCTCCTTGGCTGGCAGCTCCGCTCCCTCCCCACCTCGCAGTGGGGCACGGGATGGGGGGGAACGCTTGTTTGGTTGGATGTATCCGCAAGCGGGAGCCTGGTTCAGGAAGGATTCCTGATGGGGATGCTGCGAGGGCTGGAGCAGCTCTGCCCTGGAGCCAGGCTGGGAGAAGAGAAGGGGAGAGCTGAGAGCAGCTCCAGGGCCTGAAGGGGCTGCAGGGAGCCTTGGGACAAGGGAGGCAGGGATGGGAGGAGGAGGAAGAGGGAAGAGTTGATGGGAGCTTGGGGAGTTCTTCCCCATGGCAGGGGTTGAAGGGAGAGGTTTGGGATGCTCCATCCCTGGCAGTGCTCAAGGGCAGCTTGGACACAGGGCTCGGAGCACCCTGCTCCAGGGGAAGGGGATGGAATTCATCCCAACCCATCCCCGTGCTCTACCTGATGACACACGTCCGAGCTGTGCCAGCTGCAGGGTGGCACAAACAATGGGTCACGGTCGTCACACTGGGAATCATGGAATAGCCAGGGATGGGAAGGAGCAAAGGAAGCCAGCTCCTGGGGGTTAGCAGCGTGGCCCCGAGGAGGGCAGGAGCTCACCCCCTCCCCATGGCAGAGCAGCAGCTGGGACGGAGCCATCCATCTCCAGCCAAGCGTGGCTTCCCCCCTCCCCTGCAGTGCGGGGAGCAGGGATGCTCCCACCTCCTTCCCGGGAATGGGGAGGCTGGTTGTGAGCAGCACACACGCTGCTCCCCTCCCAGCACCGTGATGGATGAGCACCGCCTGCCTGAGGGAGATAAGGGATGCCTGGCACCAGCTCTCCCCCCCCCACCTTTTCCAGCCAAGAACCACCTGGATCAAACTGGGAGCACTGGGATGAGTGGGGGGGGGGGCAAAGCATGGGTGTAAATGGGGGCACCACAGGGGATCCTGCCCCTCTGCTGTGGGAAGGGGAGAGCTGAGAGCAGCTCCAGAGCCTGAGGGGAACCCGGAGAGGGACGAAGGATGCAGGGATGGGCCAAGGGGAATGGCTTTAACCTGCCCGAGGGGAGGCTGAGCTGAGCTCTGAGGCAGGAGCTCTTCCCTGGGAGGGTGCTGAGGTGCTGGCACAGGGTGCCCAGAGGAGCTGGGGCTGCCCCATCCCTGGCAGTGCTCAAGGGCAGGATTGGGACTGCTCAAGCTGCAACCTCCCCTTTAGGTCTTAACCCAGAGAGCTTCTGCCCCTGGGTCGGGGGTACTGATGGTGATGGAGAGGGCCAAGAGCTTCCCTTGGGTACCAGGGAGCAGGAAGATGCTGGTGCTTGGCAAAGCACCATCAGGCCCCCGCTTGCACTTGGTTACGGCACCGAGCCCTTGGCAGAGCAAAAGTGGGGGGGAACAAGATCCGAGAGGGAAAACTCACCGGGAATAACGGGATCATTGAGTGGTTTGGCTGAACTCAACACAGAACAGTTCGGGTTGGAAAGGACCCTGAGCTCACGGAGGTCCAAGCCCCCAGAGGATGTCCTGGTATCTCAGACAAGAGCACACTGGAAAGGAACTTGGGTTGGTTTGGATAACATTTGCTCTCCTGTCCAAGCACTTCTTGCTCCAGGCTCTTGATTCCCTACTTGCACCCAGTCAAATTCCCTGTGGCTTTTGGCACTGGCACAGGGTGCCCAGAGAAGCTGTGGCTGCCCCATCCCTGGCAGTGCTCAAGGCCAGGTTGGACACAGGGGCTGGGAGAGGAAAAGGGGTTGGGGGCGGATGAGACTCGGGTCCTCTCCATCCCAAACGCTTCCATGTGACCCTGGAAGCACCCAGGACAACAGGAAGCGGCTCCTGGGGACGGGGACGCCGGTGACAGGGAAGGGAATGGCTCCACAAAGCACGGCTCAAAGGACAAAGGGGAAGGAACAGGCAGCAACTGTTCCCTGTGCCTCCTGCTCCGAGGCCGGAGCCATCAGCTGCCAGAGCCCCCCAAACAAAGGGATGCGTTCTCCAGCCGCGGCATCATTAGGATGCGGAGCCCGGCTCCTGCATCCCAGGAGCCAGCGGGTGCAGCACACAAAGAGGCAGAGCTCTACTGAGGACCATCAGGGTCGAGCATCCCCTGGAGCTCGGGAAGCCCCAGCAGCAGGGACACAGCCCTGCCGGGCCCTTCGCCATCAGAGCACCGTGGAATGAGCCGGGATGGAAGGGAAGGGCAAGCGTTTGGGTCCAAGCCCCTCCTGGCAGGAGCAGAGCTGGAGGATGAGCAGCTTCCATTCAACACCTTGTAATTGTAGAGGCCTCACTGCACACCTCAGTAATTCCTGGGTTGAATCCCGACTCTTTCCTGCAGTGCCTGTAAATGATCCCTTTCAGAACCCCAGACTGGGTTGGGTTGGAAAGGAGCTTAAAGCTCATCCGCTCCCAACCCCTGCCAAGGGACCCTGTGCCACCAGAGCAGGGTGCTCCGAGCTCCATCCAACCTGGCCTCGGGCACTGCCAGGGATGGGGCAGCCCCAGCTCCTCTGGGCACCCCATGCCAGCGCCCCAGCAGCCTCCCAGGGAAGCAGATTCCCAAGAGCTCATCCCAGTCTCCCCAGTTCGCTGCTCCCCAAGTCAATGGAAGGATGCTGACAGGGAAGGGGCCTCCCCCCTCCTGCCCTGGGTAGGGTTTGAGGCTCAGCCCCACAGAACCCCTCTTCCCAGAGCCCTCTGAGGAGCCAAGCAGTGCAGATGAGGCCTCAACAGGGCAGGACCATGCAAGAGTGATGCAGGCATGGACCACAGGCTCTGCAGGGATGTAAATCACTGCATCCCAACTGCCCCATCCAGGGCTGATCCCTGCATGGACCACAGGCACTGCAGGGATGTAAATCACTGCATCCCAACTGCCCCATGCAAGGGTGATGCAGGCATGGACCACAGGCACTGCAGGGATGTAAATCACTGCATCCCAACTGCCCCATCCAGGGCTGATCCCTGCATGGACCACAGGCTCTGCAGGGATGTAAATCACTGCATCCCAACTGCCCCATGCAGGGGTGATCCCTGCATGGACCACAGGCACTGCAGGGATGTAAATCACTGCATCCCAACTGCCCCATCCAGGGCTGATCCCTGCATGGACCACAGGCTCTGCAGGGATGTAAATCACTGCATCCCAACTGCCCCATCCAGGGCTGATCCCTGCATGGACCACAGGCTCTGACAGGGATGTAAATCACTGCATCCCAACTGCCCCATCCAGGGCTGATCCCTGCATGGACCACAGGCACTGCAGGGATGTAAATCACTGCATCCCAACTGCCCCATCCAGGGGTGATCCCTGCATGGACCACAGGCTCTGAGAGGGATGTAAATCACTGCATCCCAACTGCCCCATCCAGGGCTGATCCCTGCATGGACCACAGGCACTGCAGGGATGTAAATCACTGCATCCCAACTGCCCCATCCAGGGCTGATCCCTGCATGGACCACAGGCTCTGCAGGGATGTAAATCACTGCATCCCAACTGCCCCATCCAGGGCTGATCCCTGCATGGACCACAGGCTCTGCAGGGATGTAAATCACTGCATCCCAACTGCCCCATCCAGGGCTGATTCAGGCATGGACCACAGGCACTGCAGGGATGTAAATCACTGCATCCCAACTGCCCCATCCAGGGCTGATCCCTGCATGGACCACAGGCTCTGACAGGGATTTAAATCACTGCATCCCAGCTGCCCCATCCAGGGGTGATCCCTGCATGGACCACAGGCTCTGCAGGGATGTAAATCACTGCATCCCAGCTGCC